TCTCGGGAAACCCAAGAGAATTGCCATATCCGCTGTAGAGATACATAAGAGCCCTTTGTTTCGAACCCAGGTTTGAACCACAAGTTGCACAAAGCAAAGTTGTGACCCCATGTCAGGGAGTATAGGGAATATCTACAAGCAGGTTACACAGGGGAAGGGAAGCTTTGGATAAGGGAAGCTTTAGTGTTTTTAAAAACCAGTCGCAGCTCCCTGGGAACTCTTAATTGACATGATTTCTCTCTAAGGATGTATGGTTTTTGTGTTTTACAAGGTCATAAACCACCTGGGTTGGGAAGTGTTTGGCCATGCATCACAGAGGGTACCAGCTTCAGGTGGCATGGAGGCTGCTGCATTGTTTTTGTTTATCTGTTCTCAGATTTATATCTTCTTTCCCAGTATGTAGGTGCTATTAGAGTAAGGATTGGTAGTCTTTGGCGCTGGCTGGAAGGGTTGGGTACTGGAAGGGGGATTTCTATGTGTGTGGTGCTGTGCGGGAAGGTGGTAGTACTGTGGCTGCTGTGAACACCAGCCTGCTAGGCTTCTGGGGAAGCTGGCAAGGGCCTTTTGGCCTTTTCTCTTGGCTCCTTCAGATAAGTCTAAGTCATTGTAACTGAAACACAGGCATTTGGATTATATTTCTTGCTGTAAGTTATCCTTGTCAGATCTCTGATGGTATTGATAGCTAGGCTAACTATCATTGTAAGTTCAAGAGCACCAAGAAACCACATCTTATCCCAAAACTGAACGTACCTTGTTACTTCATTTCCTATGTAACTTCAGGCCTTGCTCTTTCTAGAGCTACTAGTCCTCCAGCTGAGAAAATCAGACAGGTTTGCCTTGCTAAGAAGCTTGATCTTAAAGATGGTAAACAGGTTTCAGATGTAACTTTCTATTATTTGTTTATTTAAAAGAATTTTCTTTGCAGTGACTTCTCTTAGTAATAACTACTTGTGTACCTGATAAATGGTTATAATTGTTTTAAGATTATGTAAGTTCAGAGGGTCTAAGGAAGTGTTTTAAAAAATGTAAATGAAAGTTTTAAATGGATAAGAATGTGATTTAAGAAAATAATGTTTCAGATTTACTCTCCCCTTCACATTATTGTTATACTAAGATTTCAAATGTTGAGAGTTTTTACATGCATCAGTGGAGTTCTGATAAACTAGAAAATTACTGACTAGAGTTATTAGTCACAAATTTAAGATTTTAACTTTCCTCTGGTTGTATTCTATAGCAGAACTTATCAGAACCATTGTACCTGATATGAATTCCAGAGTGGTGGCATCTAGGCTTTGAAAATACACCTTTGTCATTTATCTGAGTTTTTAAAATTACTTTATGTTTTACATTCCAGCTTTTGCTCAACTCCTGGTGATACCTCCAACAGTTCCTTATCCAATTCCTTCTCCCCATTGCCTCTGAGAGGGTGCTCTCACTCACCAGGCATTTCCCCTTCCATGGGGCTACAAGTCTCTTGAGGATTAAGTGCATCTTCTCCCACTGAAACTAGTCCAGGTAGTCCTTTGCTATATATATGCTGGGGGTCTTGAACCAGCCCATATACGCTTTCTGGTTGGTGACTCTGTCTATGGTAGCTTCCAGGGATCCTCGTTAGTTGAGACTGCTGGTCTTCCTATAGTGTTGCCCTATCCTTCAGCTTCTCCAGTTCTTCCCCTAATTCAACCATAGGGTTCCCTCACTTCAGTCCAATGGTTGGGGGTAAGTATCTATGTCTGTCTTAACATTTGCTGTTAGGACCTCTCAGAGGACAGCGTGCCAGATTCCTGTTTGTAAGCACATCATAGCATCAAAAATAATGTCAGGACTTTGTTTATCTCTACCCATCCCATAAGGATGGAGATTTTATAGAGGTATTCTTTTGAAGGATTCTCAGCCTTTGCATAATGTAGTCTTGAGAAATGCTGGGAAAACCAGAAAGTGTGAGAATTGCTTAAAGTGATGATTCTTTTAGGACAATATCTAGACCAGATAAGAAGTTCTAATATGCTGAAAATGACTTTCTAAAGATACCTTTTGTGCAACAATAAAGAGGCTCTGCAAAAAAGGCTTGGGGTTCAGTCTTCAAGAGGCTGATTCCCTGTTCCATGAGAAGGCTAAACTCATCCGGAGTGTCTCTCTTTTTTCAATCAACCAACCAACCAACCAATCAACCAACCAACACACAAACAAACCAATCAATCATCCCACATAATGAAGAATAACAACAACCTTTCTTTATTTGATATTTTATTCATTTACATTTCAGATTTTATGCTCCTTCCCCATCCTCCATACCATTATCCCCCTATCCCATCCTTCCTTCTCCCGTTTTGCTTTTATACCATTTCAATTACATGCAAGTATTAAGGTCTGTTCTAGGTTGTGGAACAAGCAATACAATAGGTGCAAATAGTCAAGGAACAAGCAAGACAATAAACCCAGATAGTCAAAGAACACACAGGACAATAAACAGGGTCTTGTGAATACTCTTGTGATCACTATTTCTAAGGGCTTATCAGGATGACCAAAATATCTGAGCCTACTTACCTGTCATAGCCCAAAGTCATGTTCATGCCTGAACTATCTTGGTTCTGTTCTATTAAGGTCTGGCCTGAAGCCAGATAGTCAAAGAACACACAGGTAATATCTGTCTCAACAGTTTTCCACTTGACAGATTCTATACAGGTATCTGTGTGAAGTACAAACTGCTTTAAATAGCTTTGAGCCCAGAATTTCCTGAAACCTAAGGTGAACCAGTCCAGCTGATGTGATTGCTCCACATTTTTTTAGCTGGATCATTAAGCCAGATGCTTTCGATGAATGGTAAATTCTCCAAATCTGCGACTAGATTTTGACTAACAATCCAGCCTTCCTGGGCCCAGGGCAATTTCAGTAGTAAATACCTACAGAGGACAGTACAACGTCCTTTACCCCTGAAATGCTAGAATGTTAGTTCTTCAGTCACAGGGGACAAAAATGGCTCCATATAGGGCTTATTGGTATTAATCAGGAAATGTACCTGTTAAAACCAAGTAGACCCAGATCTATCAACAATATTTTTACAATTTGGGAACTTTCACAGTGGGGTCCTTGCCCCAAAGGTATCACTGTATTACATTTTGCCTCAGGCTTATCTGTAACTTTCTTATATCTTTGAGAACAAAATTTGATTTCAGTATTAGAGTTTTTTGATATTTTTTTTTTTTATTTTCAGACTGCACATTTTGTACCTGCTTTTTCTTTCTTTTTCACTTTAGAATTTTGCAAGTGTAGTCACTAATAAATATTGTTAAGGCAGAGGCAGTTCTACGGGCCTCTTCTCAATGACCTAGCAATAGATTCATCTGCCACTGCCTTAAGAATGCCAGGGAGTTATGGTACACCAGGTGTGTGCTGCAGAAATAACTACCATCAGACATAACAGCTTTCTTTCTTTGTGTTCCCTCTGTCTGTTCTCTCTGTGTGACCTCCTAGGGTGCCCCCTCTCATCATGTCTATCTGCCTATGTACACATCCACTTGTCTAACTTTATTCTTTCCTCAGATCCTCACACCCCTCTTCTCCATCAATAAAGCTCTTATGTGTCAGATCTGTTGCATGTTGAACGTTTTTCAGAGGTTCATCTTGCTATAGTCTGCCAAAGATTCCCCTGGCTGTATTATACTTCATAACCACCATGCAATAGAATCAGTGTTAGGTTGTCTTGAAACCTCTGCCAATGAAATTAGTCCAAAACCTTTGAATTTGGCCACTGGAAGATTTCTAGGACAAGGGCAGGAAGCATGTATATTCTCTGCAAAATATCACAAGAATGGTCACTACCCAAGTTGTTAATATTATTCCCTTCTGTAAACTCTTGAGCGGATACACTATAGTCCTCATTGCTTTCAGCAGTATTGTCTTCCAAGCTTAAATAGGAGCAAATACTAAGTGAAGCTTAGTAGATACTAAGATATGATGTTATTCCCCTTTCTAGTCCAAAGTATCCAAATATTCCATATTTCTCAAAAAACCTGCATAGCCACGTCTATACCAGAAATACCACACACTCTGCTGCCAATTTTTGTCTTAGTTAATTTTCTATCTCTGCAAAGAGACATCAGAACAAACACAACTTATAAAAGAACATATTTAATTTAGGGCTTGCTTACACTTTCAAGGGCATGAGTTCACATTCATCTTAGAAAGGAGCTTGGCAACATACCGTCAGGCAAAGCACTGGAGAAATAATTATAAGTTTATACCATCATGTACAAGGTGGAGGCAAATAGAGAGAAAAGCTCATTAGGAAGGGCATGGACATTTTAAACCTTTAAGCCTACCCCTAGTGACAGAGATCCTTCAGCAAGATCACAGCTCTTAAACTCATTACCAATTTCCGTATACTGAGAACTAAGCATTCAAATATATGAGTGTGGGATGGACATTCTTATTTGAAAAAACATTTGTACAGTGTTTTACATGAACTAATTTAACTTTAATTCTGTTTCTTTCTTTTTTTTTAAAACCTTGGAACTTGCATGCTCTGCATTGCATAAAATGTTGTCGTTTAACTTTTTTACTCTCTGAGAATTACAGATCAATGTCCATATTTTGCCAGGGGCCATAATGTAAACAAAACATCTTTAAAAATAAATCATTAACAAATTCAATTGCAGAAATAGAAACAATAGTAGCAAGCTTGGTGACTTTAAAAGAAGCTAAAGAGAGAGAAAAGCTCATTACATTAAGAATGGCATGGATATTTTAAACCTCCATAATCTTACTAGAGAGTAATTGTTCTATGATAGCAATGCAGAAGTTATTAGGAACATAGGAAGATCAGCTCAAGATCGACATTATTTAGGGTGTCTTTGTGAAGTGTAATTTTTAATGCTTTGTACTAATACTTTTCTCTAGTAAACTATTATTTTTCTCCATTTTGAGCTAGATATTCATCCTCAATGGCCTTTCTGGATCTCCTGAATCAAGTTGGGAACCTAGGGAGATTCCAGATACTTCAGATAGTTTTTCTTTTCCTCCTCAATGCCATTGTGACACCTCATATTATAATGGAGAACTTTACTGCAGCTGTTCCTAGTCATCGCTGCTGGGTACACATCCTTGACAATGACACTGTCCCTGATAATGACAGTAGTAGAATCCTGAGCCAAGATGACCTCCTGAGGATCTCGATCCCCTTGGACTCCAACCTGAGACTGGATAAGTGTCGTCGTTTTGCCCAACCACAGTGGCATCTTCTTCATTTAAATGGCACTTTCTCCAGCACAACAGATGCAGACACTGAGCCCTGTGTAGATGGCTGGGTGTATAACAGGAGCAACTTCCTATCTACAACTGTGACCGAGGTAAGGCATTCCCCAAAATGAATTCTTGATGGGGATTTACCAATAGCACAAATAGTGGATATTTCTTTAGCTCAGTATTCAACTTTAAGCCAACATTAATTACTGATATATTAAATGTGAAACATTTCTTATTCTTCTAGTATTTTATTCTAAGGACAACTACAGTTTATGAATTAATTTATTTATCAGTGTTTTCTAGAACATGAGTATGTTTACCACTGGTGTGCATGGAGAACAAAGATGTAAAAAAGAGGTTGTTATATCATAGGAAACTTAAATCAGAGATGTTTGTGAGCCACTATGTGTATGCTCATAACTGAACTCTGGCCTTTTGCAGCAGCTGTAAATGCTCTCTACTGCTTAGGTATCTCTTCAACATAAATATATTCAATGACTTTACTAATTCATTTTTAGCAAATACTTATGTACCTTCTTAGAAATGTTATGACAGGACAGTGCTATTCAGTCTTGGTTTAAAATTTTAAAGAACTAGGAAATTATATAAAACCACAATGTCATCTAAGGCTATTGGTCAAAGATAGAGTAATGATGCTTCATGTGTGTGATCCAGGATTCAATCTCTGCATTGTCTAAGAAAAGACAATATATTTTTGCTCTATAACAGCATAGAATGTTTCTCATTCTTAGAACACAGTTCCACTTGGTTAAATACTCCCTTCTACAAAAATAACAAAAGAAATTCAGAAATAATAAAAGAGGCAGAAAGAGAGAGGTGAGAAGGCAGTCATTCCTTGGCTCCATCTACATGTTGCCGATAATATCAGATAATATCTAAATAATATCAGAGTTTGTACATTAGTATATATGACCCAGAAAGTAAGTTAAGTATATCAAATGAATGCAATCTATGGCCTATCTGAGAGAACTTCTTAGCATATTTCCTATTCATTAAGTTATGCTAAAGTGTTAGATGAGGATACTTAGAGATTGTTAATTTTAGCTGATATTAGAAAACATATTGTATTTAAAATCAATGTGGAAGGGAAATAAGGGCTAAAGAGTAAAATTAGGGGTTATGGTAAAGGGTTAGAGCAAATGGTACTGAATAGCTCTAGTCTCTGATTTGATGTGTTTCTTCTTTTCTAGTGGGACCTGGTATGTGAATCTCAGGCCCTTCATTCTGTTGCTAAATTTTTATACATGATTGGCCTATTTATAGGAGATATCATATATGGCCATCTTTCAGACAGGTGAGTGTGCTAAAAATGCTGCCACCCACTCTACATGTACTTTTAACAGCTGTGACTCATTGAAGATGAAGTAGTGATTGTACATTATACTATTCTAGTTCTGCCACTTAACCAAAATAAAGTCTATTAACAGATGTTTAAGAGGTGTCTGCATAAGACAGTTTAGGAATAGAGAAAGGATAAGCTATGGAATTTAAGACTAAGAAATGTCACACCATTAATTCTATCATATTTATATATTTTATGGAAACAGTGTTGTCCTTGGTCAAGGTACTTGGCTCCATTCCTTCTGGACATTGAACTGAGTAGATATGATGCCAAGTCAAAAACTACAGTATTTTAGCTGTTTTTTCATGACAAGAAGAATACCTTTTGATGCCTATAAATTGTCATTGGAGATGTGTTGAGTGAAGAAGATAGTGTTTTGAGTCCAGCCAACTCAGCGATAACATCTCGGTCTTGCTGACAGGGGAAAATTAATTCATGTTTCCAGGCCAGAAATTAACTTCTATCCTGTTTATCCAGATGTTTCTTGTACCTCTGTAAACAAATAAATTAGAAAAAAAGTATAGAGAGAAGTTGCCTTTTATCTAAACTAAGGCATCAATACATAAATGTTTATAGATAATTGCCTGTTATGACCTAACTGACTTCGTGCAGTTTGTCCACCCATATTTTCTCTAAAATTTCATGGCTCTGAGTTAAGAACCTTGAAACCTGGTAGCCTGGATTAGGCCTAACCACCAACATACTCCTTCCTATGACTGGCTGGTCACAGCTCAGGGCAAATCTCCAGTGTAAATTCTCATGTTAAACCCTTTGGGTAAAAAAATTACTGGACAATGCTTCAGACCATGCATCTTTTATTCAATTTGTGATTTCATCCTTTTAGAATGCTGTACAGTTTCTCTTCATCGACATTGTTAAGGTCATGAGCTGGACATCTCCCTGAGTGCTCAGAGAATAAAGCCTTTATTTTATGTTTCAAACTTTGCAGTGAATAATACCTAAAATTTCTATGCTTGGTTCTACTTGATGCAGCTTTCTGAAAGTTACATATTCCATAGTATTATATAATTAGGCAGGTAAATACTATAGCAATATATTGTGGAAAAAAGCATTGGTATTTTGTGCCTGAATACATTTTCTTTAAATAGACAGTTTCAGCAATAAGCTTGAATCAATTATTTTTCCATTATAAAAACACTCCATAAAACAGGATGTTGAAGCAGAGCTGGACAATCAAATATTCTGAGACAAGATGTTTACAGGGAAGTGAAGCAATAGTATTTTCTAAGAGTTGTAAATTTTTCTACTCTGTAGGGTTGCTCAGAAGGTAAATCAGCAAATTTGAGTAGTCCCCAAATTGACCAGATTCACTAGCACCCTCCTTTCCAATGCATGCATAAGTAGTAAGCATTTCTAAGAGACACTCTCAGACAAAACCAGTTGATCTCCCTAGAAAATGCTCAGAGCAGCTGAATACTCTAGAAGAATGAGAATTCATCTATGTTACCAGGAAATCACTCAATAGAAATATGTTGCCAGCAAAGGCCACCCGCCAACCTGTTAAAATAGCTGTCACCAGGCATGACACTCTGTTTCCAGCTTTTATGAGGTATCATCTCCCATGCTGGATGTATTTGGTGATGAAACTGTCTTTGAGTCATTTTAAGCCCTTAAGCAAATCCTCATCCATATTTCTTTGGCAAACTTAGTAATATTCATTGGTTAAACAAGTTGTATTTTGTGGTATCTATTGTCATAGAGCAATATATGTTTTCTCTTTGAGGATTGTCACAGAAAATATCAATACTCCAAAAAGGGAGCAGTATACTTAATGACATTCTAGGAGATCTGTTTCAAAATTTAGATAGTATGATGTAACAAAACAGAGACATTAGGGAGAACACAGATCAAAGAAGGCTATTTAAAAACAGATTAATTAAGTCACAGAAGTCACAGTCTCCTGAATTTTAAGAACAAAATCAATAAAGTGCAGTATATATTAACAATGGAGACTAGCTGAGTAATTCTCCATTGTGTAAATGTACCACATTTTTTAATCCATTCCTCACTTGAAGGACATCTGGGTTCTTTCCAGCTTCTGTGTATTGTAAATAAGGCTGCTATGAACATAGTTGAGCATATGACCTTGTTATATGTTTGAGCATGTTCTGGGTATATGCCTAGGAGTGGTGTAGCTGGATCCTCAGGTAATGCTATGTCAAATTTTCTGAGGAACCATCAAACTGATTTCCAAAGTGGTTGCACCATCTTGCAGTCCCACCAACAATGTAGGAGTGTTCTTCATTCTCCACATCCTCACCAGCATCCACTATCACCTGAGTTTTTAATCTTAGCCATTCTGACTGGTGTGAGATGGAATCTCAGGGTTGTTTTGGTTTGCATTTCCCTGATGACTAAGGATACTGAATATTTCTTTAGGTGCTTCTTGGCCATTTGAGTTTCCTCAGTTGAAAATTCTTTGTTAAGCTCTATACCCCATTTTTTAATAGGGTTATTTTGTTGTCTGTGTAAGAGTAGAAATTAAAACAGCTCAGCAGAGACCACAAACAACTTGGCAAAGACTGCAGGACACCTTGCTGAGCTTGCTGAGAATAGCCATAATAAAAATATCAAGCCCCTCTAGGTACGAGGTGACCAGAAATGTAGAAACAACCAAAGGCATATCTTGACCAGTCTAAACATGCCCAAGTGAGTAATGGGCCACCTGGTGTTTATCCTAGAAGGTCTGAGGCTTCATAAATAATGGGCCAAAATAATGGTCAAAAATAATAAAATAATAAAAATAATGGGCCATCCAGCCTGTCAAAACGATTGCTTATTCAAAGTCCTGATGTTTGAAATATCCAGTCATATGTAACCATGCCAGAATTTCCCGCTTTTCCCTTCCCCCTTGTGCCTCCCCCTATAAAAGTTCTAAACATCTTGGGGTCTTCATCGAAATTCTCTCCCCTGCGTGGGATGAGTTTCGATCCAAGGGCCCCTTGTTAGTAAACTGCCTTTTGCCAATTGCATCAAGTCAGTCTCTCGTGTCTCCTTGGGTGCACACTGATTGGGACTTGAGTTGGGGGTACTCTTTCTGGGTCCTTACAGTCCGGAGTCTAATTTCTTGAGTTCTTTGTATATATTGGATATTAGCCCTTTATCAGATGTAGGATTGGTAAAAATCTTTTCCCAATTTGTTGGTAGTCATTTTGTCCTATTGACAGTGTCCTTTGCCTTACAGAAACTTTGCAATTTTATGAAGTCCTATCTGTCAATTCTTGATCTTAGAACATATGCCATTGGTGTTCTGTTCAGGAACTTTCCCCCGTGCCCAAGTATTTGAGGTTCTTCCCCACCTTCTCTTCTATTAGTTTCAGTGTATCTGGTTTTATGTGGAGGTCCTTTTATCCACTTACACTTGAGCTTTGTACAAGGAGATAAGAATGGATCAATTTTCATCCTTCTACATGTTGTCCTCCAGTTGAACCAGCACGATTTTTTGAAAATGCTGTCCTTTTCCCACTGCACAGTTTTAGCACCTTTGTCAAAGATCAAGTGACCATAGGTGTGTGGGTTCATTTCTGGGTCTTCAATTCTACTCCATTGATCTTCTTGCCTGTCTCTGTACCAATACCGTGTAGTTTTTATCACTATTGCTCTGTAGCTATTAAGAACAATGAATTTGAGAAATTCCTAGGTAAATGGATGGAACTAGAAATTATCATCCTGAGTGAGGTAAGCCAATCACAAAAGAACACACATGGTATTCACTCACTGATTATTGGATATTAGCCCATAAGCTTGAAATACCCAAGATTCAACTCACAGGCCACATGAAGCTCAAGAAGAAGGAAGACCAAGTTGGGGGTGATTCGGTCCTTCTTAGAAGGAGCAACAAAATACTCAAGGGAACAAATACAGAGACAAAGTGAGGGACAGAAACTGAAGGAGGGGCCGTCTGAAGACCATTCCACCTGAGTATCCATCCCATGTGCAGTCACCAAAGGTAGATGCTGATGTGAAAGTCAGGAAGTG